GCCTCATAAACTTGACAATCTGATAGGTGGTGGAACTGTCCAGCCCCTTTGATATTTCATCCATGAAAAACGCTTTCGCTGGTCCAACCAACATTTCCCCTTCATTTCATAAAAGAAGACAAACCATTAAGGAAAATATAATGAAAAAAATATTAGCTTGAACACAAGAAAACGATCAAAAGAACGAAGAAAGATAGACTAAGAAATGACTTAATACATAAACAGAAACTCAAACTTGGCTTTTAGCTGGCAAGTAAGACCTCCAACTTTGATAGTGCCCATCTAGACACCTCAACTTGGTCTCAACTGGCAACTAAACACTCCAACTCGTCTCTAGTGTGTCTCGTGGACACCACATAAATTTTGGAGGTGGCTAGATGATCATTTTGTAAGTTGGAGTGTTCAACTGATACTGTGGAGATGAGTTGAGGTGTTTAGATGTTCATACTCAAAGTAGAGTGTTTCTTTGTCAGTTGATGCCAAGTTTGAGTGTCTATTTATGTATAATTCCCTAAGATATATATACCAGTAGTGACACGCTTCTTTTGTCCACCCGAAATGCCTCTTCTCATATCATCTCCAACCATGATATCAGCACAAATATCTAATCCAAGAATCTGTTTGGAAATGGGACATTACTTTTAATGTAAGGGATTTTGACACAAGCAAGAAAGTTGACACCTAAAAAGAAGAAAAAATACAGAAGTTACAGACCTTGAGTACATAATCTGTAATTAAACTTGTCTCTAGGCCCTCCATTGCTGTGGCTTTCATAAATGCATCAATCTGAGGATCTGGCATTATACCCGCTTCTTTCTCTCGTCTCGACAACTCCACCAATAAATCATACCTGGTTCCAACACCCAAACATCTTCCAGCAAAATCTAACGTTTCACGAACTGTCATCTCTCCATGATGAAGATCATGTTGGCTAATATAAGCACTTGTTCTTTGAGGAACAAATTCATGAAATTCATGCCCACAATACGTAATTTTTCCTGTCGCCTGCATAATATAATTCACTATTCAGCTACAACATCATAACCAATGTAATCCCACAAGTGGGGTATGGGGAGGGTAGAGTAGAGCGTACGTAGACCTTATCCCTAATAATATGGAAGTAACAGTAAATACAACAAAATAGTGCGATAATCGAAGTACAAGAGACACTAGATAGTAGTAGAAATCAAAGGACAACAAAAAACACAGGAGAAATACTATGGCCACTAGCATGGGAGGATAAGCAAGATAACGCTCTACTACCTACTAACCCTCTATCCTAGATTGTGTCCTCCTCCACCTCCTAAGTCTTATCTATGGTCATGTTCTCGATAAGTTGAAACTACATTGGCATACAAGTAAACAATTTCTACAAAAGAGAAGTAGCGGCATGAACATACCCTCAGATCATCTTCGCTCTTTCCTGCAAGTGCTTTCAACAATGTAGTTTTTCCTGAACCAGGAGGCCCTAGGAGTAATGTCATCCTGAAATCAACTCAGCATAAGTGATAAGCAACAAGCTAAAGGACAAAGCAAAATATGACTTAAAAAGATCAAATCTTTGATGATTCAATCATCTACGATTGAGTTGCTAAAACTTCTGAATAGGTATCCTACATCTAAACCAAATTCCTTCTGGTTAAAGAATCTCTTTTTGTTTGCTCTGAAACAATTCGGAGATTCTCTAGAAGAAATGCGCGGTTCTGCTTCTGGCAGCGACATGCTTCGTCCCACTTATGGGAAAAAATATCAATCAACAACTAAATTAGGAATAAACTCAAATATTTTTATTGTGTACTAACTTTGTAATGTAAATCAAGAAACAAAGGCAAGATTTTAGGATGTAAGAAGACAACATACCTTGATGGTCTTATAATTCCACTCACATCTTCAAGAATTTTTACGACCCTTTTCTTGGATGGAGAAAGATTAATCAATCCAAGAACAGCCTGTTCATGTCATAAGTTCAATTTAAGAACAAAGAATGATAAATCTTGTAGAGAATCTCCTAATTGTTCCGGAGCAACTAGAAAGAATGATATATCTATGTTGCTCAAACACTTATAAAATGTCGATGCATGTGTGTCGGATCCTCCAAAAGTAGTGCATTTTTGGAGGATTCAACACAAGTGTGGCGACATGTTTGAAGAATCCGAGCAATATAGCTTATAGAAGGTCAATTACAACTCTACTATAGATTCCTTTCTTCTCTTTCAACTTCTTTCTGTTCTTACTTTTTAGTCTATGCCGCTCTGACTCTTCAAAAATGTCATCAGTTGCATGTTGGATCCTCCAAAACTAGTATACTTTTGGAGGATCCAACACGGATGAGACAACATTTTTGGAGTACGAGTAAAATAGCTTTTAGTACGACGAATACAATTTTGTGAAAAGGAAGAAAATTAAAACAGTTACCTCTATGGTATTCAAGGTGGAATTCAGCAGTGTAGGTAATGCTCTTGTCCCAACATATGCATCTCCTTCTACACTTAAGTTCTCAAATCTCACTTCAATCTTCGGGATCTCTATCCCTACCCTATTTCAGCGTAAAATTTTACATCAGTATAGTATAACATGCAGCATATTCATCATACCTAAACTCTAAAATGATCAAAAACGGAAGAGTACTTATATGTGCATCGAGTTTAACTTCTGTACGCTGATAGTATAGAAGGTTGTTATGATGTCACACCATCTAAAAGAGAATTACATGTAACTATTCATAATAAGTGAAATTAGTAAGTAGAAAGAGAACATGTAACATCTTCATCATACCTTAACTCTGAAATGATCAAAAAAAGAACGAAGAGTACTAATATGGTGAATCGAGTTTAACTTTTGTATACTGATAGTATAAACGATTGTTATAATGTAAGTGAAATTAGTAACGAGAACGAGAAATCACCTGTCAGTCCTATTTCTGAGTCTTCTTAGAAATTTCTCATTATCATCTTCCACAACCTTAAGTATACTCTCCATGAGTACCTTCCTATCTTGATTACCAAGATTAGTCATGTCAACTTCATGATGCACCACCCTCCCATTGCCTATCACCTCCTTCATCATCCCTTTTCTCATTCTATCGTACGTTGGCAACCGATCTATAGCAGCCCATTTCAGCTCCTTCTCCTCCTCCTCTGCCATCTCCCGCCATCGCGTACTATAATTCTTCATGAAAAAATCATCCCTTTGCCCTCCAAGCACCTCCATAATACTTTGAGATGACCTCCAACTTGTCCCCCTACTATTACTACTCCTCAATCTTGCTAACTCATTCCCCACAAACGCCCCCTCCATCATTTTCAACACTTCCTCAAAATTGTTAAACCACTAATAGTAACACATCAAGAACAAGGAAAAGATCAAATCTTTTGAAGAGTTTCCTAAGAATGATCAAGATTTCAACGAGAGCGAAGTCAGTATTTTCACTAACAGAATTCAAAATATAAGAAAGTGAACTCACGAAGAAGCCAAGGAGATTCAACGTCTACTATATAAACATAAAAAATAATTTCAAATCTTATATATATAATGTAATTTTTCGACAAAAGGGGTTCAGAATGATCAAGAGTTTGGAGAGTTGTTCATAAACCAATGATCAAATGAATTCTTGATCAAAGATTTTTGGAGGATCATATAAAAAATAAAGCAATATTTTAGATGTTACATAGAAGATTATCAAGAAATGTTTCAATTCAAGAATGCAACTTTTTAAGTTTCTTGAGATACTATAAAACATAAAAATTTCTTATATTTATAAAACTTTTTTTTTCTTCATGGTGGACTAGGCAATATCTTATTTATTACTTCTCCCAACCCCATATAGGATAGTGGGGTGGTGAGAAATGATGAGGTTGAAGATTAACCAAAAAAGTGAACCATTTTTCTGAAAAATTCTGGTCAAATTAGGAGAACTTGAGTGTTTTCCCCCCCTCTTTAAAACTGTTATTTTGCCATTTGAGATATTATGTTATGTAAAACTTACAAAGACGAGTCAAAGATTTAAAGTTTATGAGTTTTGAATTTGCTATCGAATAGAATAAATCGTTTCAATTACCGAGTTCGCAATTAGATATTTATTGAATGAATTTTCGCAAAATCGTTTGAATTCGTAACTAATATTGTAGGTCTGATGTTGACAGACAATATGTATATTTTTAATTTACCGTAAGATTTGAGCGAAAACTATTAGCTTAAAACATGTAAGTCCTTGAGTTGACTTATAGCAAAATGAAACTCTTCATAGCTAAATGATATTTATAAAGTAAAAAAAGCATTAAATTGTATTAATGGTAGAAAAAGTTATTTATACGTTCGGTATACAATAATATACCCAGTGTTATTCCACAAGTTTGGTATATAATTTAAATAGGTGAGATTAAGATAAGAAAAGAGAAAATATTTGACTAAATGGAGATTAATCTAACTTAGTTGACTTCTGTGAGAAAGGTTATGTTCCACTTTGAGTTATTTTTCTTTTATAATCATTAAGGTAATAAAGTTAATTAGTTGGGAAAACACCCACTAAACACATCCTACATAGTGTACTTCTACTTAACTTTTAAGTATCTTAGCAATAAACATGGTAGACCAAAGGTACAACTGTTCAGACACACAGTACAATAGTCACGATGCTCGTTTTTCGCAGTGCTAATATCACCATCACTACGTATTATAAAAATAATCATACAAACTTGTGTTTTATTTATTGATCTCATGTAAAACTGATCGTATAACTAAAAGAACATCGGTTTACTTTTACTTGTCATGAATTAATTCCATTATCAACTCGTTAAGTCATGCACCATGCACCAGCAAGGGTTGTAGTGGGATAGATAGAATCCTTTCATTCTTAGTCAGAGATTTCGAGTTTGAATATTGAGTATCAAAAAATCCTGTTAGACAGCGATTTATGAAGCACAAATTTGGATTAGTCGGAGTCTGAATGGGAGTACGAGACACCGGATGAAGAACAAAAAAAAAATAAAAAAATTTAAAAATAGTCTGAAAGTCAAGTAGGATAAAAGGTTAAAGGCTGAATAATCCATCACTATCTTTGGTCATTACAGACAAAGGTTTCTAATGCTTTGAAAAGCCAGAAAGAACATCTGCTGATCTCATAACATACAGCTATTGGAAAAGCAAATTAGTCACCACTTGCACAACCTTGACATCCACAATGTACACACTCTATTACAGAAGCTTCCCTAAGGTGTTTGGGGACACGACATGCACAAGTAGTCGCAAAGTTGTGATCCCGGGGCTGTATGCAGTGCAAGCAGCAGAGACGCTCGTATCCAGGCTGCAAGTTGAGTCCCAGGAAAAAGGAAAGAGTTAAATGTGAGTGACCAAATACAAAGGCCGGTAAGATGGCTTTTAATGCCTGTAAATAAGCTGTAAGCCTGAAAACGTTTGTTTACCATCTCAGCGAGAAAATATCTGATGGGTGATAAGAAGCAAAGGGTCAAAAATGCAGTTCAATAGAAGAGTGCAGGTATTTTTAAAAACTTATGTCTCACTCTTCAAGAAAAAGAAGAAGAATCATTTTCCTGGAATGCCTATGAATATGTATCCAGAGGCAAAACAATGCTAAATCTTGGTAAGCTTCAAGTTTCTGAAATAAAATAAGCCTTTCGTATCCAGAGGCAAAACAATGCTAAATCTTGGTAAGCTTCAAGTTTCTGAAATAAAATAAGCCTTTCGTATCCAGAGGCAAAACAATGCTAAATCTTGGTAAGCTTCAAGTTTCTGAAATAAAATAAGCCTTTCGTATCCAGAGGCAAAACAATGCTAAATCTTGGTAAGCTTCAAGTTTCTGAAATAAAATAAGCCTTTCGTATCCAGAGGCAAAACAATGCTAAATCTTGGTAAGCTTCAAGTTTCTGAAATAAAATAAGCCTTTCTCTTGTGATGGGCTAATTGTCAAAAAGAACTAAAAAGATGAAGGGGTTTTGTACGCATCCCATAGAAGTAAAGAGAGAATTGTAGCTATCACAAATTTTCATCCTTTTTACTTCTTTTTTCACTTTGACTTTAGATGAGCAGGAGGCTGGGCGGTTAACTAGAACAGACAGATTTTATAAGTTCTAAAGGAAGTTGCCTTCAATTACCTTTTTCCACTTTGCAATCAGGTTGCGATCTGCATAACCTTGTTCCAAACAGAATTCGTACAGCTCTTTAGATATTTCATTCCTTCCATAGTAAAGGTCATATACATATCTGCTCCTCTGATGTGCAACCTTGAATATGGGCCAGAGTGCTTCACACTTTCTTTTACCATCATTAGAGTCATTGCCAGCTACCAAAACCCAAAAAACCAGAAGTTAATGGTCTGGAAATTTCAATCACAAACATAGACAATGAGATTGCTGAATTCCACGTAGCATCAAATTGCTTACCTTCTCTCATTTTAGCATCCAGTTCAGCTAAGGTAGGCTCAATCAGCTCCCAACCCTCAGGGTATTTTATACGGTTTGTCTTAACTCTAGGCATTTTTCAGCTGCAAATAAAAAAATGAAGAGACTTACTTCATCTGTAAGACAACATGAAGAGAAAAGTAGCAACACCCCTACAATTTATATACCAACAACATAAAAAGCATTTTTTATAGGTAAATTAAGTTTCTTTATCGTCAATAAGCAGCACCAAGAAGGTGCTACGTCAGTACGAAATGAGTGAAGAATCATTCCCTGTAAGAGTGCAGGGGAGTCTATGACTTCCACCATATTGACAGAATCATCTATTACTACAAAAGTACTAAAGAATTTGAAAGTTCCCAGTAAGGATAAGGTTTTATCCTGAAACATCTCTGCTTCCTTCCATTCCGGACTGCCCAAAACATAGACAAAGAAATCATATTCCAAAGCATTCTCTGTCTCTTCTTAAATCTCTACCCCCTACCCCACCCCACCCAAAGCTGCTTAGTACATCCACGCTTCATCCATATAGTCCCAAAACCATCCCCAAGCTGCTTAACGCATCCACACTTCACCCGAACCCTATTTGTTTTTTTCATTTAACCAAGTAAGGATTTATCTTATTCACATCAATAGGTATTCCATTGAGACAGCCTCTCTCTGCAGTAAAAAGCATCTATCGCACAGACTAATCCCTCACTTTTGGCAAGTTGTCCTGTCTTAGACATTCCTCATTTTTTTTTGAAATTGATGTCTTAGACATTCCTCGTGTAAGGCAATTTATTCAAAACAGAAACTTTAGCCAGCAGCATTTGCTTTCCAAATCATTTTCCATGGCAAATGGCCAATATCCCAGCATACTCTGCTTAAAACCATTCATAAAAAGCCTTAACTGAGAGATTTTCATCCTTCATGCTGGCATTGGATGTGGTACTCTTGAGTAGGATCCTGTCCGGTCTGAAAATCAGACAGCTAACAGTTTCCATATTTCGATCCTCCAGATTTCTTCTATACTATAAGTTCCAGTATCATCATTCAGGCAGTCGGTCAAGGGGTAAGATAACCTCACACCTTCCTCGATCTGCAGTTATCCAGCGCGTTATCCTAATCCTATCAAAATCGTATCTTTTACCACATGCAGCTTCAGTTGATTACTTCTGAAAACTCATCATAGGTTCCTACTCTATTGCATACAGCCACCATGACAAGCATGTCGAGCTTTGTATCTAATGTCTATCCCCATCATATTTTTCTTTTACCAACTCCTTCCATAGCTCTTCCTTTTCTGCAGAACTACCACAGCCATTTGGAAAAAAGGTTCGTATTATGAAGCCTTAGGTTCTTCACTACTAATCCTCCACTAGTTTTGTTTTTGTCAACTGTCAGCGTGGACCATTTGATCAAATATACCTTCTTTCTTTCACAGCATCCCTTTACATCTCAAGCAGTCCAGTTGTTTCCCAACTTTGGTAAGAATTTGAATAGCCGAAATATCTAATACACTATTTATCAATGTCACCCTTCCTCCAAAAGAAAGATACTACTTCTTTCAAGGTTCTAGTTCCACACCATTTGATAACATCCGGCCAATCTGGCGGGCCACTATAGTCCCCATTCCCCTATATGTGTACTTGCCAGCTCATCTACTAAATTTCTAGCAATCACCAAAAATATGCTACTCTTGGTCAAGTTAATGTGATACCCAGCAATAGCAACAGCAGCTGGGGACATTATTATCTTAAATATTCGACTACCACTGCTTTAGCACCACACAAAGTGTGTGCATCATCTGCTAACAAGCAGGGAAATACTTCCACTATGTTTCTATTTACTTACCAATCCCAAAACCTTTTATCCACTCATATTTCACGGTCCTTATTATCACCAAGATGAGAGACCCCATCACCAATAGAAATAGAACAGGCATTTTGGCTATCATCTGCTAACAAGCAGGGAAGGATTATATCCTCTTAACTAAAGGCTAATTCGACTGAGATCTTTCAATTCAATTGTCCCTGTTCTTTGTTATTACAGCAATGAAGGCGGCACTAAACTTTCCCCTAATGTTCCCTTCAAAAAATTTCCAACATTCCCCGGCATCTCTGAAATAATGACGAAGGGCCTTATCATGAACATTGCTTATTACAACTGCCTTCACTTTCTCTACCAAAAATAGATTCTTTTTTTCTCCAAGGAATTTTGTAACATTATTTATACTCTGGTGTTAAGGATATCCGATCATCATCCTATCAATCTGGCTCCGCATGCTCCATTTTCCTACGATAGTCTCTCATAGAATTCTAAAGATCACTCTTATATCTCTTTTAAATCTTCCACAGTTTCCTCAATAATCTCCTGTCTGTCTATATTTCTATACCTACTATGAGCATTGACCATTTCATGTAAAAACTAGACTATGCAAACAGAGCTAAAAACAAAATTTTCAGTTCTATAAAAACAGTGGATTTTTTCAGAATTGCAACAACCATAGGGGTATCAAGTTGTTAAGCCACACTATGAAGGTTTGAGAGAGGGTGGTGGAGATGAGGGTGAGGAGGAATGTGTCTATTTCCGAGAATCAGTTCGATTTCATGCCATCCATCTACTTCACACGGTAGGGATAAGGTCTGCGTACACATTATCCTCCCCAAACCCCACTTGTGGAATTACAATTACACTGGGTTGGCATGATGTTATTGTTGTTATTAAAATAGTTGAATCCCCTAGTCATAAGATAATTTTATTAAGGTGAAAAAAGAGTTCAATAATCGCTACTACTTTTGAATCCTATTGTATAAATTCCTAGTTCCACCACTATCCATGTTCAATTAAGTTTTGTTCCACATCACCACGAAAATTATAACAACAACAACATACCCAGTGGAGTCCGACAAGGTAGAGTGTACGCCGACCTTGAGGTAGAGAGGTTGTTTCCAATAGACTCTCGTCCACAAGAGATATTATAAACTAGCATATTCAATATAATCTCACAAGTAGAGACTGTGAAGGGCAAAATATACGCAAACCTTACTACTATGTTTACGAGTTAGAGAGGTTGTTTCCTATAGATAACCGGTTCAATGAAGCATAATTACAAGGATCATCATTGAAATTATCATTGCACAAAAATCCACAAAAAGAATCATAATCGAGTAACCGAAACATTCTTGTGCACATAGAAGATGTTCAAAAGTAGAGAAGGTGTTTACTTACCTTCGGTTATGAACGGAAGTATCTCCGATCGCCGTTTCCGGCAAGCTACTGCTACAACTGCGGGAAGTATGCTTCTCCGTTTTCTGTGTTCGGCGACGAAAGAGAAAATATAGGAACAAATTACATATATATCCCCTTAACTTGTCATAATTGTAGAATACTCCCTATTTTTTATTATAACAGACAATTGAGTACCTGATCTTTTTTCTTTACCTTTTGGGATCCCCAAAGAAAAAAAAGGTTACCAACTAATTTAAAATTACAGGGTAAAGTGTAAACTTGAGAAATGAAAAAAAATAATGAATTCAATAATAATAAAGAGTGGAATATTCACAAATCTTACACTAATCTTTATAAATTAATGAAGTTGTTTTCGATATTTGTTAAAACCGTTAATTAATTACTTATTAATAGTGACAAGCTGAAATTAATTCTCATTCTCAATTGATCAAACTAATCCAATTTCCAAACGTTAATCTAAAAACTCATGAGTTTGTTTATAGAAAGTTGTAAACACCAACATTTTTAACGTTTACTTTCACCATCAAAGAATGTGATGTAATGAATAAGACTGCTTTCTTTCTTAATTAGAGATGTCGATTTGGAGTCCTGAATATGAAATAAGAAATTGATAGAGTGTTTCCCCTCATGGTCCCTCGCACCAAATTTTTGACAAGACCCTTTCTCCGAATGGGCCTTACACAATACAAACACAAATTAAACAAGTTTGAGAAAATTTCATAAATAGAAAACATAATAAGACTATATAGTTATAGTTTTGATAATTGTGCTCCATAGCTATAGTTTCGTTTGTTATAGAGATTGCAGTTTGTATATTTCACTTGTGAATATACAAATAGGGTAAGTATATACAAATTCTGTATTTATACATTAAGGAAATTTTCAAAATTCCGTTTGTATATTTCGTTTGCCAATATACAAACATGGTAATTTATTATGATTTACTTATAAATCGTAGATAAATAGCTATGGTAAGCATATACAAAATTATGGTTCAAATTATACAAATCAAGCAAATAACAAAAATTGAGAAAACTGAACCACAAATTACAATTTTTTTAAACTGTAGCTATGTTATTTTGCATAATTTTCCCAACAAGTTTTATTGTAAATAATGAATATCTACTTCAAATATCATGTGAGATTATTTTATATTATACCTAATAATAAATATAATTTAACTCAAAAATTATTCTATTTTATATTTTTTAAATAGAAATATTAGTTAGTTTCGAGATTATTTTAGTCCCACAATGTCTAATTGAGTGGCAGTAAAATAGGAAGTAACAATCTTGAAGCCTCAACTCAACAAATTGATTTCCCTTTGCGTCTATTTTTCTCTCTGACTTGTTGCTTTTCATCGAATTTCTCTCTAACTTTCCAAGTAAGTTCATTTCTCTATTTGAATTTGATTTTTTCATTGACCCTTTATTGTTCTTTGATTCAATTCTTTGTTGATTGATTGATTGATTGATTAGATCTTGTTTTCTTCATTTTGTTTGTGTGGCTTGTTTTGGTTGATGGGTTTTTTGATTGATATGATAGATGGGATCTTGTGGTTTTTGATTTCGTTTTGGATTTGATGTTTACCATGATTCTGTCCAGTTTGTGCGTATCTCAATTAATTTCAGGGGTAGCCACTACCTACTATAGCTGCTACCTATAGTGGCAGATTCATGATTTTCAATCATGGGTTTGAAAAATAAAAATGTAAAAAATAATGCAGTCCTTGACGTTGGGGTGCATTTTGAATAACTTAGATCGTTGAGCTAGCCTTTTGTATTTTATTTTAGGGGATTCACAATTTATATATGTACGTGAATATAGAAAATCTATCATGTATATACAAAGTAACTTTTTGACGAGGGGGGTTTGGGTGAATACCCTCTAGTTCCTCCCCCGGATACCTTGCACAAGTAGAGGTAGGTGATTCTGTCAATCAAGGCTTGAACAGATAGGAAGAAATCGCTTGAGACTTAATGTTTGCCAACCCAATTCATTGAACACTAGGTGTTACCCTTGGGTGCTATAATGTTGGTGTTTGATATTCAGGGATGTCTTAGTTCTTCGTTAACAATGACAATGGAAAAAAGGTTCCTTCATAGAAAGTTCTTTTTTTTGTGTGTGGGGGTTGGGGCTTTGACAGTGGAATATCTCGTTGGCTAGCTAAGTCACTCCAACAAGAGAATTCCTATCTGATTATCAATGCCAATGAAGGGAAATTGTATTTCTTTTTCTGTTAGCAACTAGCAAGTGATTTGCACTGCCACTTGATGCCTAAAAGCACATGTTAATGGAGCTAAATTGGCTCAAGGATTAGATATTTTGGACATGGTAGTGGAAGACGTCAAGCTTCATTTATATGAAGTATGTCTATGATGTATGTGTGGCTGTTGGAGCTCCTGAGGATCTTACATTTGTTAGAGATGATAATTGGACCTGTAGGGTTTTTTATAAGAATTGGACACGTAGTGTGCTCGAAATGCTTACAGTTCTAATGCCTGTTATATTGAAACCATGTGCTACGAGAAATGCTGGTGAACACAGATCTGAAATCATCTGAGTGTCTTGATAAAAGCCGTTTCCTTTTACATTCTCCTTCTACATTTCCCCTTTTTCTTTATCAAGAAAAATAAATGCTGCTTAACATTATCTTTCGGCAGTTATCAGCATGTAAAATATTATAAGGCACTCTAATTGTTGGCCTAAATATTATCAGCAAGCTTGGTAATAATGTCGGTATACTGGATATTTGTGAGACATGTTTCAAGATGTAGGATGTATCCATTTTTTAATGTTGTAATTTTTCTTGCTTGATCTATTGATACTTGAACGTATTTGATGCAAAGATGGAGCTTACAATAGTCTATAGAGCCTAAACTTGTGTGCAAATTGCACCCAAATCGGTCTATCTTTGTGTGAAGTTATGGTTAGCTTATTCTATCTATGTTTGTTTCTCTTCTTTCTTTTGAATGGTCTTTTTAATCTCTGAACGTGTTGTACTGGACAAGCATTACCTTCATGACATTTCTTAATACGACAACTTTTTAACCATAAAAGGAAAAGCGGGTGGGGGTGGGGGAAGAAGAGTCAGACTATCATTGTTTCTCAGTATACTGTTGAATTTTTATTTATTTTTTGGTAATATCCATCCGGACCATCCCGATTAGCATTATTAATATGGAAGGTCTTTTACTAGTACCTTCTAACAATAGGCATATGGTTCATTTTCTACTTTCTGATTGATTGGTCGTAGTCTTGAGTCTTGGCCATCTTCTTTCCAAATATGTGCTTGATTGACATCTTGCTTGCATTAATTAGTCTTGAGTCTTTGCCATCTTCTTTCTGGATTTGTGTTCGATTGACATCTTTCTTGCATTAGAGGAACACTTGCTTTTCACTTCTTTATTTCCCTCTCTCCTTGTGTGCCACAAAAGTGATGAAAGATCAACGTATGTCTCTGAATTGGTAAATAAGACAAGGAAATCACACAGATTACACTTCTAACAAAGCGAAAAGGATGCATGCTAAAGAACATCTTCTATGCTTATTTACCATCATAGTGAGATTCTGCGTTGACGAGTTAATGAATTATGCAGGATGTCAGAAACACCCTTCTATCCCCGAGAAAAGCTTGCTGCGAAACAAAAGTATTTCCAGAGTGTTCACAAGTATACACACCTGAAAGGTCCCGTAGACAAGATTACCTCAGTTGCCATTCCACTTGCTTTGGCAACTACAGCTACCTTCATGATTGTAAGTTTCTATCATATTAAATCGTCCGAGTCAGTTCTTTGTTTCCTAGAATCAACTATAATCCGTTCTTGGATGATGTTTCAGGCCAGGGGGATCTACAATATGTCTCATGGCATTGGCAAGAAGCAATAAAATGCTGACTTCTGCGCGATCATTCCTAGGAAACTCGAGCACAAAAGAGATTTTTTGAGTTATTCACATTGAAATTTTTGATGTTCTGAAGCTAATAATTGGTTAGATGCAGCAGACAATGCAGCCTGCACATTGAAAAGTTTGATGTTCTAAAGCTAATAATCAGTTTTTTTTCCATCTATTAACTGCCACAATTTGAGACTTTGCTCTAATTTTTGATGAAATGTTACTGTTTAACAATGAAAACAGAGTGGAACTATGTTCCCCCTCTTTGTCAAAACTTGTTTGAGGGTCTACTGTTTTCGATAGATTGTCGACTCAAGATAAGCATACAAGAAAATAAGTACAGGAAGGAAATACAGTAGTAAAGGTGACATGTTAAAATAAAGGAGAAAGAGAACAATAACGACAACAAATAATACAATAATAAAAATAAAGGAAATATGTAATAACAATACTAGATAATAAGATAGTAGAATAGTAATGATAGCAATATTGATATTAGAAATTGGACGATACTCAATTTAAGGTCATGTCCTCAGCAAGTTGCATGTATGTCATCTCCTATCTAATCACCGCTCCCATGTATTTGTTTGGCCTACTTCTACCTTTTCTCATATCCACCATAACCAACCTCGGTAAACAAACATGTACTTCAAAATATTTCTAAGTATTTAATTAGTCAATTATTGATCAAACAATAATTCACTTTTATTTGTTGACTTTATTAAAACTATCAATTCTCATTTTTACTTGTCCACTTAAGCATATAAAAACTATCATTTCCTTTTTTGCCCTTAACATTTTCTATAATTCTAAATTATTTTCCAACTACTTGATGTAATATACAATTCATTTTATTATTGTTTAATGGATGTAATATGCAAATCTTTATTGGTCAAATATATAATCAATTTATTATTGAGATAAGAATTAAAAACACATTTATCTATTATTTTTTACGAAAAGAACACTAATAGTTAAAGAATAAAATTCGAAAAAGAATAATTGAGGGCATTTTTGACCATTAAATCTTAGTATTTTTTTTTTTCGGAATTACAAAGATATACATGTAAGTCCACGAAGTTGTCCATTGTTTCATTTCACAGCAAATCGCCGACGGCAAGCCGGGAAAGCTCTCCCGCCGGCGAAGTTCCGTAAACTACTCCGGTAGTCTCTTCTCTGCATAGCTATTCCCTCTACAATGAGGTCCAAGGACAAAATCTCCTACTTCTACGACGGTAAGAGTTTTCTCTTTTTCTCCTTTTTCACTTCACACTAGAGAAATCACAAACCCTAGGTGCTTTTCATTCTATATGCGAGTGTTCATTTTGTTTATGTAAGCTGATTTTTTGTTACAGGTGATGTTGGAAGCGTATACTTTGGTCCGAATCATCCAATGAAGCCGCACAGGTTGTGTATGACTCATCATCTGGTTCTAGCATATGGACTTCACAGCAAGATGGAAGTTTATGTTTGTTACTCTTTCCTTTTCTCTTTTGTGTTTGTGAAGTTTTCTGTTTTTTATGAGTTAATTGTGAAACACACACCGAAAAATATCTATTTTTCGAGTTTCATACCTGAGTTATGAGGTACGGCCTAATAGTGTCCTGTTTTTTCAAGTTTCATACTTGAATTATGAGGTGTGTGAGTTTCCTACGAGAATTATCGCCAACTATTTATCTAAACACAACTTAGCTATCAGCTGTCCCTTTTCGTACCTGAAATATCACTATCAATCGGGTGTGTTTTGGGAACAATTACTAGTTGAGGTACTAATGATAAATAGTTGGTGATAGTTCAAATATGAAACTCGGAAAAACAAGATATTTTAAGTGTGTTTTTGACCCTTCACTCTTTTTCTTTTACTTTGCTTTTTTTGGTTTACCTTTTTTGATTGAACTGTGTAGAGGCCTCACAAAGCATATCCAGTGGAGCTAGCGCAGTTTCATTCTGCTGATTATGTAGAATTCTTGAACAGAATAACCCCAGAAACTCAGAACTTGTTCCCTAGTGAAATGGCAAGATGTAAGTGTTGAACTTTGTCTTATTTTATCTCTTTTCCTTTGAAATATCATCTTTGAGCTGCATACTTATTCATATGAATCTAGCTTGTACTAGTACATGTCATCTTCAATAAACAAGCATGCCACCACCACCAACAGCTACACCTAAATCTGAAGCTAGTTAAATACTCAGTATTCATGTTACTCCACTTAGACTTGTCTCAATGAATATTGAAAAATTAGGTTCTCTAGTAGAGAATGTACGAACATGATTAGATCACCTATATGAATGTTTTCATGTGCTCTATTTTAACTGTCTTAATGGATTTCTAGAGATTGAAAAGGGGGGGGGAGCATATAGAACAACAATTACCTCCAAACCCAACTACTTCTAATTGGTAAATAAGTTTCATTGTTTGCAGCACTAAGAGAGTTCTACATATTACAATTACAACAATGTACAAAAGCAGTCCCTTCTACTTATTCTGGTACCTAATGAACTATATCAGTTTGCCAACATCACATATGTATTCTGAGTTACACCAAGTCACCATCACATTTCGTACCGTCTCTAGTTTCACTCCTTCCTATTTTTTTGTCTCTGTGTTGGTTGTTTGGTCTTTTTCCGACTTTTTTTGTATGATGAATAGGTGTAGTTAACAACTCACTATAAGATCAAAATGGAAACTAATTTCGATATCATATATTTTCCAAAGAGTATGCTTTTTGGCATCACGTCTTTTTAGATGATTTGTTTGGATAATGTGATGTTGAACTATTGCTTATCTGTTTACTTATCAGATAATCTTGGAGAAGATTGCCCTGTATTTGACAACTTATTCGAGTTTTGTCAAATATATGCTGGTGGAACAATAGGTAAAATCGGCCTTGTTAACATGCTATTACTGTTGAAGTCTCAAATTCACTTGCTAACAAAGATTTAGTGGCAGATGCTGCACGTAGATTGAATAATAAGCTTTGTGATATTGCAATAAATTGGGCTGGTGGATTGCATCATGCCAAGAAGTGTGCGGCTTCAGGATTTTGCTATATCAATGACCTAGTTCTGGGGATATTGGAGCTTCTAAAGTATCATCCGCGGGTGCTCTATATTGATATTGATGTGCATCACGGTGATGGTGTAGAAGAGGCCTTTTATTTTACTGACAGGTGGAATTATTTTCTGTAGTTTTTCTCCAATTTTTCGTTTTTCCTTCTCTGTTTTTCTTTCTCTAATATCAAACCTGAGGATAAATCTTAAATCAATATGAAGGCTTAAAGTAGTAGCTATTGAGTCTAGAGTGAGACTCCGAGAACCTGGATGATCGACTTTGCCAGTAAGAAATATGTATTGAAGTTCTTTGTAATACTGAAGATGGGACCTCTCAGAAGCATCTTGTATTACCCTCATATAATCTGTGTCGCATAGGAATAATTAAAGTGTCACATGTTCACTTGATTATTAAATTGCTAGTTTATTCAGTAGCTGTGAGTATGAAGCTTCCACCCTGGCACCAGTTGAATACTTTAATTTTTCAAAAAAATTGGCTTCTAACCAGTTGATTTGTTTGCGTACTGCATAGTTGGAACATTTTTGTCTGATATGATTGTTGCTGCTACTATGTTCTATAGCTTTGACATTTTTGTCAAATGCTATATATTCATTAGCATTTTAGTAAGTGCATTCATGCTCTGATAGGTGCTTGTTAAAGCCTTATATAAATCTTTTTGGTGTAGAAAGTGCACGTTTCCTTGTGATGTGTTTTAACTGGGGAATGGGATAAATATTTACCAAAATTGGTGCAGTCCAAAATATTATTAGACAGTGGCTGGAATTTTAAGTTTCTAATATTAGATCTTTTTGCAGGGTTATGACCGTTAGTTTCCACAAGTATGGGGATAAGTTCTTTCCTGGAACTGGTGATATGAAGGTACTTCTATATTGACAGTTTATTCTTCTTTCTTTTTTTCTCTAGATTTTTCTTTTTACGTCGACAACCTAACATGAGCGAATTTCTTATGGGCTCACTTGAATTTCATCGACTTTTATGTGCTACTTATTGTGAGAAATATATGGGAAAAATAATATTGAATTGTGTATCTAAATTGTTACATTGAGACCCTATTTATAGACAATGCATATACATTGAAATCCTTTTCTAACTAGGATTCCTATTCCTATTCCTCTTCCTATTCTAAGTAGGAATATATACATATTTCTATTCTAACACTCCCCCTCAAGCTGGTGCATACAAATCATATGTACCTAGCTTGTTACAGATGTAATTAATACGAAGACTTGTGAGGGACTTGGTGAAGATATCTGCAAGTTGATCATTTGACTTCACAAATTTCGTAACAATATCTCCTGAGAGTATCTTTTCTCTGACAAAGTGACAGTCAATCTCAATGTGCTTAGTCCTTTCATGAAACACTGGATTTGATGCGATATGAAGAGCTGCTTGATTGTCACACACAAGTTCCATCTGATCAATTTCGCCAAATTTTAGTTCTCCCAGCAACTGTTTGATCCAAACTAGCTCACAAGTTGCTGTCGCCATTGCTCGATATTCTGATTCTGCACTAGATCGAGCAACCACATTCTGTTTCTTACTCTTCCACGACACCAAATTACCTCCTACTAAAACACAATATCCGGATGTCGAACGTCTGTCAGAGGGTGATCCTGCCCAATCAGCGTCTGTATATCCAATGATATGCTCATGGCCTTGATCCTCAAAGAGTAGTCCTTTACCGGGAGCTGACTTTATATATCGCAGAATACGAACAACTGCTTCCCAATGACTATAATAACAAGATGTAAGAACTGCATCTCCCCAAAAACGCAGCGGAACATGGGATTCAAGGAGAAGAGTACGAGCAGTCTCAATAAGATGTCTATTTTTCCTTTCTGCTACACCGTTTTGTTGAGGGGTGTATGGACAAGTAGTCTGGTGAATAATGCCTTGGTAAGTCATAAACTCCTGAAATTGGGAGGATAAGTATTCTAAGGCATTATCACTACGAAAAGTACGAATAGAAACACCAAATTGATTTTGTATTTCAGCAAAGAAACTTTTGAATATAGAAAATAACTCAGAACGATCTTTCATTAAGAAAACCCAAGTACATCTTGAATAGTCATCAATGAAACTAACAAAATAACGAAATCCTAAAGTGGAATTGACTCTACTAGGACCCCAAATATCAGAATGAACTAATGAAAAAATAGACTCTGAACGACCCTCAGTACTACGTGAAAATGTAGCACGAGTGTGTTTCCCAAGTTGACACGACTCACAATCTAATTTGGATAAACTAGACAAACTAGGCACCATCTTTTGCAGTTTGGATAGACTCGGATGTCCCAAACGTTTGTGGATTAGATCTGGGGAATCTGTAACGGAGCATGCTTTCAAGGAATTTGAAGAGGCAAGGTAGTAAAGGCCTTGTGATTCATGTCCTGTTCCAATCGTCTGTCCCGTACTGCGGTCCTGCATGAGAAAAAAGTCATCAAAAAAGGTTATGCTACAATGTAGAGCCTTCGTCAAACGGCTAACAGATGCTAGATTAAAAGGAGAACCAGAGACATAAAGAACAGAGTCTAAGGTGACAGAAGATAGGGGTTTGGCTTTTCCAACCCCTTTTGGTTTTGTTTGAATCCCATTGGCTAAAGTAATAGCAGGAAGAGATTGTGAATAAACAATATCGGACAAAAGTGATTTATTACCGGAGATATGATCAGAAGCCCCTGAGTCCATGACCCATGATCCAAGAGTACTAGACTGTGACACACAAGCAAAAGAATTACCCGCAACAGAAACATCAGGTTGTGCAACCGAAACTACTTGTGGAGACGTTTGTTTATTTGCACGATACCGAAGGAACTCATCATATTCTGTCTGAGCAATATGAGCATTATTGGATGGTTGATTAGGTTGAGCACCATATGTCTGTTTACTTGCGCGATTTCGAAGGAACTCATTATATTCCTTAAGAACAATAGGATCATAACTGGGTGGTGGACCATGTAAAATATAACATATATCACGAGTGTGTCCAGGTTTATTACAATGACTACACTTGGATCGAGGTTTCCCAAAACGCCCTCCCCCTCGCCGATTCTCCATAGACTGGTATGTACGCTTTTCTGTTGTTTGAGATGCGAGAATTGAGGAGTCAACAATGGATGATGAAACTTCTTTGTGACTGGGAGGTGCAGCAAGACGAAGCAGACGAGAGAATAATTCATCAATTGAGGGAACTGTAGGACTGCTAGAATCTGGTCACGCACAGAGTTATGGTCAGTAGGAAGTCCAGCAAGTGTAAGAACTAGAAACAATGTCTGCCTTTGCTCTTGTTGCTTTTCCACATTTGTAGTGATAGGCATCAACGCTTCAAATTCCTCCATGACTGCCTGTACTTGTCCCAAGTAAGTAGACATATCAGATTCTTGTTTCTTTAAGTTGGTCATCCGAGATATCACATCATAGAATCGAGCTATGTCATTAGTGTATAAAGCACGCGCCTTTTCCCAAACTAAATAACATGTCTGGAATGGGCGAAACAAGGACATCAACTTAGAATCAATAGAGCGCCAAAGGAGACTACATAATTGGGCATCCACTTTCTCCCATTGTGCTTTGGCCTTTGCACCTTCGTCACTAGACTTTGTCTTTTCATCTACAACGCAAGCATTGTTTGTTAAGTGATCTTGAACACCTTGACCCTTACACCACAACTCAACTGAAGAAGCCCAAGCTAGATAGTTTGAACTTCCCATTAATGGTTCTGAAGTGATTGTAAGGCTTGAACTTCCAATCCCCATATTTTTGGAGCCAAAAACATCACACCCGAAAGACATTTTTTCGAAATTTGACTTGAAAAGAGTAAGAAACTTCGCTGGAAACGCCGGAATCTACCCACAGTGGCCTAAAATTTGTGATTTCGCCGGGAACTTGCCGGAAACTGCCTGAAAATCACCGGAACCCTAATTCCGGTGATCGGATCTAGAGACAACTGAATGGGTTCTGGTCGGAAATACTGGGCGACCCCAACAGAAGAAAACAACTCGAAAAAAGATGACCGGAACAGTACTCACGCGCCGGCGCGTGAACAGATCTCGCCGGAAAACTTCCACCTCTGATCGGCGCGTGGGGGCGCGTGGGGGGTTGTTTTCCGGTGGAAATTCTTGGGGTTCGGTCGCCTGAGCTTCCCGAGCCTCGTGATGGTGTTGTCTTTCGCACAACACCTTCAGAACGAAAGATGACACAAATCAGTCCCAACCGTCGTCGCCGGAATTTGACACGGTGACTTGAAGTTTCTCACCAATGCTCTGATACCATGTGAGAAATATATGGGAAAAATAATATTGAATTGTGTATCTAAATTGTTACATTGAGACCCTATTTATAGACAATACATATACATTGAAATCCTTTTCTAACTAGGATTCCTATTCCTATTCTTCTTCCTATTCTAAGTAGGAATATATACATATTTCTATTCTAACACTTATTATTGTGATTGTACCTTATTCTACTATCCTCTTGGATATATAGAGATTAAGACCTAAGTAGCTTATTTATTCAATATAGAGGTGTAGGATCACTCCCTCCATACCCAACACGTGTTGCGGAGGTATTAGGTATGTAGTAGATTGGTCGAGCGTGCACGTTGGTTCCTACATCTTTGATATAAAAAAAAATTCTTCCATCCCGAAAGAGATTAACAAGTTTAGAGATTAAGACTTAGGAGAAGAATCTTTGAAATGTCAAAACTTGAAATAGCTAAAAGGATGTTATATCAAGCCCTTGGAGGTGGCTCGTAGTCAAAGAGTTGGAGTAACAACCTTGAGGACAAAGGTTCGAATCCCAACAATGGTGACAATAAATGATTTATTTCCATCTGCCTAAGCATTGATAGTTGTATTGGGGGAAGTTATCAGGTATTCGATAGATGTCAAAGTGCGTAGGACATCAATGTTATAAAGTAAAATATGTCATATCAAAAAAAAATTAAAAATATAACATGCTTAGTGTGTGTGTAGATTTTGATATCTTGTGTTTTCCTTCAAGAATAGAAGGTGAAATAATTTGTTGCCAAAGAAGTAAGTGGCAAACAGAGTAGTTGCTTCAAAATATAGGGAAAAGGCTCATAAATACCCCTCTTCCACCTTTGGATTTAAAAATACCGTTAAGGTTTAGTGGCAAACAGAGTAGTTGCTTCAAAATATAGGGAAAAGGCTCATAAATACCCCTCTTCCACCTTTGGGTCTAAAAATACCGTTAAGGTTTATTTTTGGGCTCAAACATACCCTTCAACCTAACAGAAATATCAACTTTAACTCTTTAAAAATCCACGTGTCATTTTCTAATTGGTGCCACATTTTGATTCACAAATAATTATAACCCACTCAATTTTTAAAATCCAAACCCATGACTAACCCGTTCTCACCCACAAAATTAAGCATACATTCTTTTTCTCCTCTTTTTTTCGGTCATTATTTTCTTCAGATCATTGCTTTCCTTGCTGGTAGCATCCAAACATATATTAGATTTCATATAGAATTTCAGTAACCAAATTCGAAAAATTGAAAAACTATTAAGTTTCTTGGCAAAAAAATCAATTTAGAACAAAATGGGGACATTGGCAAAATCTACGTCCAGCATTTATAGAAGTTTTGGCCATAAATTGTTCATCAATCACATTTATGTGACTGTTGAGCTTTGAGAATTTATAGAACTTTTGGGCATTCTAGCCCAAAGAACAAACTTTATGCAGCGATTTTGCTAAACAAATTTGGAAGAAATAAGAAGACCAAGAATAAGTACGAAACTATGAATGCAATGGAGATTTCTTTAGGACTTTGAAAAGCAGAAGTTTATGTGTAGGGGGTGATTGTTGTATTGGATAATTTTAAGAAACAAAAACAATAAAAGGAAGAGGAAGAAGAACTTACGAGTGGAAGAACCTAGATACATAGATTTGGGAGGAGAAAAAGAATGTATGTTTTATTTTTTGGGTGAAAACGGTCGGTCATGGGTTTAGATTTTAAAATTTGGGCGTATTTTAATTATTGTGAATTAAAATATGGCACCAATTACAAAATGACACTTGGCTTTTAAAGAGTTAAAAGTTAATATTTCTGTTAGGTTGAGGGGTATGTTTGAGCCCAAAAATAAACCTTAAGGGTATTTTTAGACCCAAAGGTGGAAGAGGGGTATTTATTAGCCTTTTCTCATAGGTTAGGGGTATTTATGAGCCTTTTCCCTAAAATATAAGGTAGCTTGTCATTTGAATCTAATATCAAGGCAAAGAATTTGAAAAAGCTATTCAAATTTCTGAAAACTCAGCCATTTAGGAAATGAGTCAAAAAAAATATGAGAATTGAAAAGAAAATTAGGTCGTGTGTGTGTTTGTACATTATTGGTTGTCCTCTTGGATGTAAAGTAATTATTGATATCTTTAGTACTAATCCAAGTTTTGAAAGGGAGAAAACATTGATACTTCTCAAGAATCAAGATATGCAGCTTTGTGTACATCTTGTATGCAAGATCTTTTGCCTCATTAAGGAGTCGTTTTGTTTAGAAGCAAGTTATGTATGGATTAGCAATGCAGGGATTGTAGTGTAAGGTAATACATGAATTAGTGGATGAGAAGAGGGGGGAGTAAAACACAGAAAAGATGGTGGAATTTAGTTTCATCTTGCATATGGTGGTCAATTTGGAAGGAAAGAAACAATAGGTGCTTTAAGAATATTACAAACCCAATAAGTTAAAGAAAACTGCATTAATACTCGATATTTTTGGTGTAAAGAAGAGGGTATATATGAAGTAGATCAGTTAGTAGATTTCCTAGGCTCTTTGTAATCATGACTACTTTGCCTTGGAATTTTTTGTTTGGTTGCCAGCATACCCTCATTGCCGATGAATACAACTTTACCATTCTCAAAAATAAATAAATACATGAATTACTGATACAAAGGATTGTAATATAGGTATTAGTAATGATAGTAATGAAGGATGGTAATGCAGGGTTTATAGTACAAAGATTGCCAGGTAGAGATTGTTTATTATCGAATGTTTAGGTTTTTGCATTAACATAATTATATAGTGTGTGTATATTAAATATGTTTTTATTTTTTAACAAAATAAATTTTGGTTACTTTGCTCATGAAGGGCTATTTTTTCCATTTAGTAGCTTTAATTCATGTATTGTTAATTTCCTTATATTCTTATTCCACATTTTATCCTGCATAAAATAATACATAGATCTGTGTGCAGAAGTTATATGGGTATTATTGTTTAGGAAAATCAAATAAGTAACCAAACAATGTATAGCTATTGCAGAGTTTATGAAAACAACAAAAACAAATAACTGAACTATGAATAACTTATACATTGTTTAATAAACGGGCCCTAATAACACTATTTATATTATCAAAACATTCTCAAGTTATGTAGCTTTTATGTCATCATTCATGCCAAACTTACCGTAATTATAAATTCCTTGGGTTGTGCACTGCTTTTTGGGTGGAATTCCACCCCCTTGTGCTATCATAAAGGGCTAAAGAAGGGAAGCTTAGAAAAATGGGGCTTTTGACCTACTTAGGTTTTACCGTTTAAGTATCTGTGCGATTCCAAATTCTTAAACCAATAACTAACATGAGTTTTCCTGAGAAAGCACATGTACGGCGTCATTTGTGGCAAAGATTTCAATAACTTGGAATCATTGTTGGCTTTTTATTTGCTACTCCCAGCCTAGGGAAAAATTGAAATACATTTGTACCGCAAGAGCATCTGAATTTCATGTTTGCTCTGGATAGTGTAAATTCATCCTCTAGGATGAAACTCCTACCCCTTGCATTTAGGGAAGGCCCCTCTTATGAACTCCTCTAGCTATGCTTACCGTGGTTTTATTCTGAAGGATACAGGGGAAAGAGATGGAAGATTCTATTCCATAAATGTGCCTCTCAAGGATGGAATAGATGACGGCAGTTTCACTAGACTCTTCAAAACAGTAAGTTTGTAAAGAAAGTTTCTATCATATTTGTTTTACTATGTTCTGATTATTTATTAAAGCATCTCACTTGCAACATGTCATTTCATAGATTATTTCAAAGGTTGTTGAAACATATTTACCTGGCGCAATAGTTCTGCAATGTGGGGCAGATTCGCTTGCTGGAGACCGTCTGGGCTGCTTCAACCTCTCCATTGATGGTGCTATTCTACTTGTATTTGGTTTCTTATTTTAAACACTTTCAGGATTGTGTTCAATCTCTAATATTCAGCTCTTTGGGAGATTGAATGCATTGGTTTGTCTTCTGGTGATTTTTAATCTCTCTCTCTCAATGAATGATTCTTACAGGACATGCTGAATGTGTAAGGTTTGTGAAGAAATTTAATTTGCCTCTGCTGGTGGGTGTTTCTCAATTCGAATTCCATTTCTGGTTCATAACAAGTTATCTGCATCTGTTTGACTGCATGAGACCTTTCACAGGTAACTGGAGGTGGGGGATACACAAAAGAGAATGTCGCCCGTTGTTGGGCTCTGGAAACCGGAGTTCTTTTAGACACAGAGCTTCCTAATGGTATGATGAGCAAGCTTTTATTTTTGTGCAATGCTTTCACACTGCCTCTTATGCTTGTTTCTGTAATGCCTCGAGACTGTCAGTGGCTTAGTCAGGATCCAAATGCATAAGGGAGATGACCCCTTAAGTGGTTATGCAGAACAGGATGGCACTGATATCCTTGGTTTAAGTTCTGGTTATTATTGTTCCAGTTGCTTTATGTTCAATATTAGGTAGGAGTTCATTTGGTCAGGTTCAAGATTTATGTGTAGGTATAAGTATGCAATTTAGAGAATTTCTGGTTTTAGAGAACCCGAGAACTTCTCTTTTGAACCTGAGAACTCTTAATTTGCCTTAAAAGACAAATTACTAATAAGCAGAGTAGTATTAGAATAGTTTGGATTCGGAGAGAACATTCGCAGCTTAAATTGGCTGTGAGCACGGGAATTAAATTACTGACAGAGTGCAGAGAAGAATTTTTATTTCCAGGTTGAGCTAGATGGTGAACTGATGTTCACTGTAGCGAATTTGATGTTGAAGGTTAATTTGGTGTATTATATTGTGAAACTCCATCTCCTTATTTGGATGCTAGTCATATAGCTGAGCCCAACCATTTTGGGGGATTGAGGGATAGTTCATTGGGATATTAATTGATTGAACATGATTGTAAGTATAGATCTGTTGCTTGATGTATTTGAGTGTTTGGTATCTGGCCCAGTTGCCTAAGTGCGACAGTTTTGTATTTACTCTTCCCTCTTCCATTTTGTAGTATGTAACTGCTCTTTTTTTGTTGTTGGTATTAAGATATTCTAAGTGGGTAACTAAATAGAAAATGTGTTAGTTTCAACCGTTCACGTTAATATTAGGTGATTTTGGTCGAAGGCATGGCTAGATAATAACTTTGCAAGGTTTATATGGAAGCTGAAGTTCTTGGAATTTGACTCCTCCTTTTGAACTTCTTGAGTTGTTTAAACAATCGATTTTAACTTGGAAAAAGAAATGATCAGCTATAATGTTATCTGAAATTTGCTTCATGGTTCACATTTTCTAGTAAGAAGTTCAAGTTATCTGCTTATATGATGTTATTTAAATGAGCTTAATGGTTTAATTTTTTAGAAATAATTTTATTTCACACAATTAATTTATAAATAATTGCAGAAATACCAGACAATGATTACATCAAATATTTTGCCCCTGATTATTCACTGAAGCTTCCTGGTGGACACATAGTAAGTTGAATCGTTTTGTTGCTTTGCTTTACCTACCTGCATGTCATAATCTTAGTCACTCAAGGTGTGGAGTCCTTTTCCTCAAAATTTTGTTGATATTTATAATGTTACATCCATAAGATGACCGATTGCTTAATCCAATGATGTCATGTTCCAATAAGCATTTTCAAATAAAAATGACAACAAATTGGCATCGTGATCTTGCTCTAATCACCTGTTTCATTGATTGAACAGGAGAACCTGAATAGCAAATCATACATTGGCACCATAAAAATGCAAGTGATGGAAAATCTCCGTTGCCTCCAGCATGCTCCGAGCGTACAGATGCAAGAGGTAAGTCAAGTGCATCTTTTGAGTTTTTTGTTGCCAGTAATCAAGAACACACATACAAGCTATATGTACATAATTGCATGATATGTTATATGTACTCGGATTGCTTAAGAACTGCACTTGTGATGCGCTTTGCCCCTTTAAGTGATTGCTTCTTTGACGCTTTATGTTGATTTTGAAAATACACAAGTATGTAAAATGCAGTTTCAGCTTTCTACACATGCTACAATCATTCAGTACATTTACCATTGTGAGATTCTTCTCCAATGCATAAAAAGAGCAACCTGCATTTTCAATGTGTCGTAATTGTCATTAGAAGTGCATTTAATGCATCTAGCCATGATTGTGATTGGTGCCTGAAGGTAAGGTATCTGGGGGAGATAGTGACTTGGGAGTCTGAAAATTTTCATATTTTTTTAGGTACCACCTGACTTTTTTATTCCTGATTTTGATGAAGATGAACAAAATCCAGATGAGCGTGTGAATCGTAAGTAGAAATCTGACTATAATAAGCACACAACATGCTCAAATGTGGAACTACAGTGATCTAACTCTGATTTTGCTTTCTTCCTGTTATCCTGTCTTGAATTCACAGAGCATACCCAAGATAAGCATATCCAACGTGACGATGAGTATTATGAAGGCGACCATGACAATGATAACCACACTGATGATGCCTAAATGCGGTCAATGTAGTTAGTTTTGTTGTAAATGTATATTCTCTTGGCTACTATAGAAAATGCAATGTACAACTAGTTTATTGCATTTAAATTCACCCCGAGGTAAAATACATTGGATGTGATGGGATTCTTACCGTAGAGTTGCAGCTTTAGTTTTGTTGGGTCTAGATCGTCAATGGAGGCATATGTTTTACCTCCATTTTAAAGGCTGTCTTGAACTTAGGTAAACTGTGTTTGGGGTGGCAAGTTGTGATCTGTGAATATAAACTACTTTTATGGCTTCATGGTCTGCAGTTTTTTCCATCTCTACTTAGCGCGGTTAATATACAAGAAATTACCCAGAAACCTACATTAATAATGATAAATGAACCATGTTAACATTGTAAACTAACTAGAGGAATGAATTGTATCCTCTATTCACCAATGGTGCATGGACCAAATTGACATTGTTTTTACATTGTTACCAACTAGAAAATGAATACTGACGTCCATTCAGAAGAGACTATTCCCCCTATGGCAACACATAGAAGGCCAACTAAACCAATAATGATACAAGGAACAAGTTCACATTGTAAATAGAGGAATGAATTGTAACTTCCATCCTGCATCCCCCCCCCCCCTCTCCCCCCTTGGTAACTCCGAAGTGCCAGCCAGACTAATAATGGTACATGAACCAAGTTGACACTGTAAACCAACCAGAGGAATATATTATAACCTCCATCCAGCAGAGATTTTTCCCCCTCTTCGGAAACATCAGAAGGCCAGCTCAATTAATAATGATACATGAACAAGTTCACATTGTAAACCAGCTAGAGGAATGAATTGTAACCTCCACCGAGTGGGACTTTTGGCTTAAATATAGCGGATGCCACCAAGCAAGGACAGTGCTGGAAACCCACACTCTGAGAAGAAGCAAAAGAAATAAATTAGTACAGGCTATCAGCTAATCCACTGAGATGAGAAGAAGAAACTGGGAGAGTGAAACAGAAATTGACACACCAAAACCAGCATGGAACGTTTGAACACAAGAACCAAAATTTTCAGGGATAGTTGTTTACACTATTAATGCCCTCGGAAATAGTAAACCTACATTTTTGTGTGTTTGGTATTAAAGGAAAATGTTTTCCTGGTGGAAAATAAGTAATTTTCTTGCTTATTTTTGGTGTTCGGTAAGTAAGTAGAAGAGGAGAAAGATCAAGTTACTGGTCAGTAGTTAGTTATAACCAGGAAGTTTTGTGCTACCATGCCTTCTGTATATGTTCAGTGATGCAGTAAAGGAAAAGAAACAGCAATAGAACATTGGTTGGGTTATAGGTGGATGTTAGAAGCACAAAGTAGAGGATCAGTGCCTGAGACAAGGCACACTATGAGAACAGAACAGCTACATATGAGCCATTTCCAATCTTTCTAGAATGGCCCTTCATTTTCTGAAGGCAAGAACAGAACAGCCTAGATATTTTAGCAGGGTTCAAAAAGAAAATATCTCCACTTTGGTCTAATCCCCTTGGATCAACCAGAAATCTTGGCCTAAACTGCTTTTCACCAGTCTCTGAAGGAAACTAAACCAATTGAGTAACTTGTTAGTCGTTGAAACAGCCCCTTCGTTTATCAGGTTCATATAATGATGAGCTGGCAATAAAAGCCTCAAGATTTAGGCTAAATAGCATAAATGATGAAGAAAAGCTGTATCAGGGAGGGTCGTTAGCTGTAGGAAAAGTACTACGTATCAGATTAGTATCACAAACACAGACATAAAAACAGACATCGACTTACTGGTATGCTTAGCAACACTCCATCCACATTGACCAAGACAGGTAAAGCTCTTCTTGCAGCGACAGGAATGGACTTCAATAAGAGGAGAGCTCTTTCAGCTGATTTTTTTGTACAAGCAGAACACAAGTTTATGTTGCTCATTACTCGTGACTCCACTGAAAGGGAACGTTCTTCATGAACAATGCTTCCATCCTCTCTTTTTGATAGCGTTGCTAGGTACAACCAATCAGCATCAATCATGTGACGGACCCTGACCATTTGATCATGGCCAAGGACACAAGAATTGCAAAAGTTACATATTTCTTCTCCAAAATCTTGGAGTTGATTAGAATTAATCATGAAATATGAAGTATAAGCGTTTTGTTTGCACAGATACCACTTCACTATAAATCTGTTCATGAAGTACCCAACTTTTTCAGGATGGAGTACTTCGCTTGGAGCAGAAGCTGTGCATTCTACTTTGTGTTCCACCTTGTTTTTTAGCGCAATATTAGTTTTGGACTTGAAATTATTGCTTTCCTCTCTCCGCAGAGAAATAATGCTCTTGTAGGTAGATTCACTAAGAATGCCTTTTCTTTTGGCTTCAGCTAAAACGGAATCAGAAGATGTTAGGTTCAAAAATTGCACTCCAAGCATACTTTGAGGGCACTGATCTGAGTATGACCTCCCATTTGCTACAATTTGCTCTACCTCTTTCGAAATAGTGCTGTTATATCCTTCGGTCGAGTGTGGATTTAGCAACTCTAGTGTCAACTCAGCATCAGTAGAGCAGGAAATCAATACTTTAGTGCCTTTGGAGCCAGGAGCAGGACAAAGGTAACAACCGGATGCAGTAACAGCAGTCTGCAGGTGCCATAAGTGATATACATTCGACAATGTGTTATTGAAAATCATCAATCTAATATCAAAAGAAAGGAATTTCTTGCCCACAAAAGTTTATACCATTTGTGTGCAAAGGTCGAGTTAAATTGGACTATATTCACCTTGCATGGGGAAGTCCGAATGTAGTCTAATAACAACTTTGATGCACTGCCTCTGACTGGCCTTTGCTTTTGTGAAACAAACTATTACAGAAAACAAGAGGATGAGTAAGTATCTATCATTAGATACTAGTCAAGAAAAGCTTTCTACAACAAAATACCTTGCCTGGGAAAAAAATTGATTATTGGCATAATACATAAATAGACACTAAAACTTTGCCTCAGCTAGCAAGTAAGCACTTAAACTTTGAGAGTGCACATCGAGACACCTCAACTTGGTCTCAACTGACAACTAAACACTCCAACTCGTTCCCAGTGTGTCTCATTGACACCCGACGCTGACGTGACACATAAATTTCGGAGGTGTCTAGATGATCATTTTGTAAGTTGGAGTGTTCAACTTACACATTGAAGATGAGTTGAGGTGTCTAGATGTTCATTCCCAAAGTTGGAGTGTTTACTTTCCAGCTGAGGCCAAGTTTGAGTGTTTGTTTATGTATTATGCCTACATGAAAAGCTAAAAGTGGCAATACCTGCAATAACAAAGCAATAAACTTGGAGAGGACTATGTCCTTCAATTCTGAAGGACTGAGGATTCCTAAATCAATCACCGCATACCCTTCCTGCTTTCCAGAAGAAAAAAAATTAAGGGCAGAGAGAGAATAAGAGAGAGCAGGAACATCAGGCTAAGATAAGGTACAGATCTACGTAGTGTTTTTCTTCTCCAGATGAAAATCATCACTAAGGAAATATTACACGGATAAGTTCTAGTCAAAATACCTCTACCAACAGTACCAGTAGTCATTGAAGGATTCCGTTCCAAGTTTTTCTTCCAAATGATTAGTTCATCTATATCCATTAAATTTTTTTCAGTAATACTTCATTGAATGTCAGCTGTTTAATGATTGGATCTTAATCACTCACATTCTGACAATAAGAAAGTGCAAATACTCAAACAATGGGAATGCAAGGAACATGCCTAGAAGGCTAGAACTATGACTTCTAAAATGCTCTAGGACATGCATTCAGATATCCCATTGGGGGGGAGTAGTAACATTTTCAAATTGGTAACTATGACTAACCCATAAGTCTAAATAAAGAACAAAAAATTACCAATGTCCCCCATTCCAAATAGAGACAAGCTTCATTTTGGCGTGGGAATACAAAAAATAAGGTTGAAATAAATGTTACTGATTCTGTTCTAGACAGGTACTGAACTGTCAACTATATGCAAGGAAAAGGGTGCTAAACTGCAAATTGACGACCAATACACCCCCCAAGAAAAGGCATGATTGAAAGCAAATGCAGATAGATGTCATTTCTCAAACATGTAGTACACCTGTTCTGAAGGCTATCAAGTATCACTAATGGAACAATGGATCTTTGGTTAGAATGCATTCCCAACCAAACTGTAGAACTCACAGGCATGATAGTCACAGCTTGATGGATTAGGTTGGAACAAATTTTGTCAACATGCAACCTTGTTCTCCGACAAGCAGCGATAAGTGCTTGCAACTCGGATCTGAAGATAGCTGCAGGAAAAAATATATATGATCAAGATACGGTAAATACAGGTTCCGTTAACAAGGTTCCTCCAAAACACTAGATGCATAATTAAGTCAAATGCACGAAAATCTACTCACATGATGCCAAGTCAGTCAATATCATCCGAATTCTATTACGAGCAAATAATGCACTTCTGTTTGTGGGATCTTCAACCCATTCTTGATTGGCAGCTAGACATATCTGCAATACAAGGTAATGCAACTTTAGAAGCTTCCAATGAACTAGGAAAAGGAATAACCATCTGAATCTTTTTAGCAAAATCTGCAGCCGTAGTTTAATCATTTAAGATCCTGATGAAACATTACCCTGAGCACTCTACTTACAGATAGACGAAGTCATTCAGGTTCAAAGGCTACTACGAAAATCTTCCAAACAGACAAACTGTAAAAAACAAACCTTGTACATATCTTCTTTAGGCAACTCCAGGAGAGGTCTCACCAATAAAAGTCCATTGCTACTCGCTTCAGCACTTAAATCTGGACATTTAGAAAACAGCTCTGAAACAAATGCCATTCCAGCGAGTCCAAGCACGCCACTATTGCGAGATAACCTGAGAATGAATAGTTCTGCCTGTAGAGTAATCCTATTAGCAATTGCTAAAACTATAAACTATGGTGTCAAAAGCAATAATGTTCAACTTACATTTGCATGAGGCAACATCAATTGTATTCAAATACCATTAGCTCTTTTTAATGTATTGACAAAAGCTAAACAGATTGCCATCTGATAAGTGCTAATTTTTTAGAGTCATAAAATACAAAAATCCACAGAGTAGATGCTATTATGACAATACCTGGTCATCTGCATGGTGTGCAGTCATCAACACACCAATCTGATGCCGGATGCAAGCACTTTGGAGAATTTCATACCTGAACAAATGATGAGGAACAACTTATTTACTCACAATAATGACGACATTATTAACATCAGGATAAATGTATAACATATAGTCGGTCAAAAACCAGTATGACCAGATATGACAAG